CTCTTCACAACAATAGAAACCCCAACTAAGACAGCATACTTCCCTTTACTGGCTATTGCAGGACATGAAGATTAACTGATGAACTGGCACAGCCACTACTATCCTCCTCATCCAGAATGCCATATGTCTGGCTCTTCCTCATCCTTTAGTTGATAGACAAACTCACACACAAAAAGGTGTTCTCTGACTACAGAATTATTTTCTCCCTCCAACCCCCATCCCACCTCCAAACTCTGTCTAAATTACAACAGGGACAGTACCATCACCTTATAAAGCAATGCACATGTCTCTGATTTCTCTGCTAGGAGCTATGGAGGGCATTTCACATTTATGTCATACTCAGTTCCTGCAGAAGCAACTGATGTTTTTTTCTCTTTTTGCATGGAGCAGTCCAGATTCACAGCTTTGAAGCCCTTAGACCCTGATCCTCTTTTTTTGTCCCCAGAAAATAAGAAATGATGCTAACAAAATCTTGAGAATTGTCGGCTAGCTAGGATTTCATCATTTATGTCATAAAACAGTAATTAAACTGGTTCCCTGGGCTCCCGTGATTTATGAATGAAAACGTCATTTGTTTGTTCCCCTTTCAGTTACTTGAAAGTAAAACCATTCAAGGAAGCTTACATTCTGAAGTCTGTGATTTTGAGGCCTCATCTAACATAGGCCTGTACTGCTGTTCTGGGCATTAAGATAAAATGCTACCAAAGCTGTGAGCCAATGCACACAGAAACAGATAATCTAATAATAACCACAAAGAGTAAAAATCACCCACAGCATTTTTGTACTTTATTGAAATGTTTTATGAAATTTTTCTCTAGGTCAAAAATTGGTCAAACACTAATGCTGTCCTTTTCTTGTTTTAAATTGTTGTTGCCTTTTAAGTCACGACTGTCTGAATCAGCAACTGCAACTCCTCAGCTACCAGCAGTGGTTAGGCTGCAAGAGCCGAAGTTATGAAGGGAACTTAACTAAATCTCTGTCCCTCTAAAGAACTCAAGAATCAAAGGTTAAGGTAGAATCTGCTCCTCAGATAGGCTGAATAACGTGAGGAGGCCCAAAACAGCTTGACCACACAGCTGCCATAACAGGCTTAGAGGCCCAGACACAGCTTCTGTGACAGGCTTACTGGCAGGCAACACCTGGATCCAGGAGAAGCCATGAGCTGACCCCACCCAGGGAGGGCCTGCATCTAAGGGGAAAAACCTGACATTTCAAACATTCCCTATACCCCTAGACAAATGTCAGCCAATCAGGGTCCTGAACCCTGGAAATCCCCTCATCCCAACCTCTGCTATGATAAAAACCCCACCTGCCTGGACTCTGCTCTCACTGATGCTTCAGATGGCGAGTCCAAGCTCTGAGCTTGAAATAAAGGCTCTTTGCTTTTACACATGGGATTTGGTCTCCGTGGTGTTTTTTTTTGGGGGGGGGGGAGGGGAGTCCCGATATCTGGGCATAACAAATAGCAAGTAGCTCACCTCCTCTCCTTGCTCATGTCCTCCAAAAAGCCCTTGTGTGCTGTGGGATGTTCTGTATGGCAAATGTGTTGCTGATTGGTCAATAAATAAAGCACTGATTGGCCAGTGGCTAGGCAGGAAGTATAGGCAGGACAAGGAGGAGAAAAGAAAGAACAGGAAGGCAGAAGGAGTCACTGCCAGCCGCCACCAGGACAAGCAGCATTTGAAGATGCCGGTAAGCCACGAGTCATGGGGCAAGGTTTAGATTTATAGAAATGGATTAGTTTAAGATATAAGAACAGTTAGCAAGAAGCCTGCCACGGCCATACAGTTTGTAAGCAATATAAGTCTCTGTGTTTACTTGGTTGGGTCTGAGTGGCTGTGGGACTGGCAGGTGAGAGAGATTTGTCCTGACTATGGGCCAGGCAGGAAAACTCTAGCTAGACTTCTGCTTCTCCTCGCCCCCACTTAAAAAGTGATAGGATAGGCTCCTCCCTATCACTTCCTGTCAGCTAGTTGCTGACTCAGCCTCCTGACTGCAGGTGAATTTTATTTAATCAAACACATCTTTGCATCATTAAATAAATATTCCAGAGCATAAGCAAAAGTAACACACCTTAAAATAATATTCTACAACACACGTTGACGATGAACAGTGACACATACAGCTGCTGTAAGGTTGGATGGGGAGCTTCCCAGTCCGCTCCCAGGGGAATGGGGGTTATGTACAGGCTTGTAGGGCTCACTGGGTAGAGAGCAGTGATCCACGTCTTGCACTAGCTGCTATTTAATGGTTCTTGGTGTCACAGCTACCTGAGTCATTGTTCATTCAAGTGGAGGCAAGATAGACATTACGTGAACTTCATCTGGAAACTTCAACTATTTGCTTAAAGTATTTAAAAAGTATTTAATAGAAAAGTATTTATCAATTATAAAAATAATTAGTATCAAGAGTATTTATACTGTAAAGTATTTAATAGAAAGTATGCAGCAATAAAATATTTTATATAAGCAAAGATGTGATCAGTAAATAGCAATTGAAATGTTTTTTAATTAAGAAGAATGGCAAAAAAAGTTAGTCTTTTTAGTATTGTAATTTTACTTGAGAAAAATCATCCATCTCAAATTCCTTTAAACCAAATATTCATATGGGGCTATGTGTCTTTCTGCCAAGCATTCAATTATGACTTGGGGTAGTGAACTTAGAAAGGTACAGGCAAACTCTAAGACAGTTATGATATACAGCCAGCCTGATGCCTCTGAGAAGCTGAGCCAGGACACTTCAGGTATGCCTGTGGTTACAGGTAACGTTATTTTCTAAAACCTAATATAAGTGTGGATTAAAAAGAAAGTTAAATGTATCCTTTAAAAATTTTATTAAATTAAGAACGGTACCTCTCATGACAGTGAGAGCCCCAGGCCCTTTTTAGTAAATTTCAAACTTTGTTTTCTTTTGGAATTAATACCCATTATTGTGGTCATACCAAATCAAACACACGTCCATTAAACAGGTCAGTATTTCAATAAATTAAAAATAAGAATCATACCAGAAAACTGAAACCCAGAGGAAAAACCCTAAGCCCCGTCAGGAATGTCCCCAGCTCCCCTGAATTTGCAGCTGGTATCATTAGGGGTTTTCTCTTGGCAGGAAAATTCCACGGACTCCCACACTCTTCGGAACATTTCAGTGGGAGAGAGCTGAAGGCTGGGCTCTGCTGGAGCAGTTCAGACCCGTGCTTCACAGTGCCCCGGAGGTTTGCTTTGAATAGAGCTGTGAGGTTGCCAAGGGCAGAAACTGAGAATCTCATTTTTTCCTAAAGGAACAGATTTTAATTGCCATAAGAAGTGTGGTGTCTCATTGAGTAATGATGTCTCAACACTGAAAACCTATGGGAACATACTGACTGTAAACAACTGTAGGTTCAAAATCATTCTGAAGAGGCCTATACAGTTCCGAGGGGGTTCCAGAATGAAACGGGAAGTGGAACACATTAGGAGGAGCCCTGCAGCCTGTGGAAGGGTCTGCAGAGAAGACCCTTCAGAGCGTCACTGGGAGCCTGTACCTACCGTGCTGAGAGGAAGTGATGGCTGACTGCTCCGACCTAAACACATTTTTGCCATCTCCCTCCAAGGCTTGGGGAAACACTGCAAACAGAAATCAGGAAGAAAGGCTCGGAAATGCTGTCTTCTGAACAGGACAAACATTGCAGTCACGCACTCCCAACAACTGCAGATGCCTGCACCAGGTCCACCCAAGAATGGGACCCCTGGGGCTGGAGAGATGGCTCAGCGGTTAAGAGCACCCACTGCCCTTCCAAAGGCCCCGGAGTTCAATTCCCAGCATCCACATGACAGTTTACAACCGTCTGTAGCTCCAAGATCCGACACCAATGTACATATAAAAAAAAAAATTGATAGGCTCAGGGGCCCCCACTCCTCACTGCTGAACTATTTAGGGAAATCAGGAATCATTGACTTTAATTGTGTGCCCCATGTGCCCATTCCTGACACCACCAGGCTCCAAACCCAATGGTCACATAGAAGGCCCTGGTTCAACTAAATGGGTCACAAAAGAAACCCAGTTATGAATTCAGGGAAAAGGCAAGTAGGGAAGAAAGGAGGTTGGTAGGGGTGAGAGGGAGGTAAGGGATGATGGCGGGATAGAGTAACCAGAATGTATTACATGCATGTATGAAGTTGTCCAAGAACTAACTTAATAAAAAAGAAAATGCTTGTACTTAGAAGTAAGTATGTAAGGTGAAGGTGTATCAATTTCCTTATAGTAGGCATTTCATTAGGCATAAATTTATTAATGAATCATTTTTACTCCTTAAATACATAAAATTGATAGAACTAAACTGGAAAAACAGGCAAGAATGTTTGTATTTATTAAGCTAATCTGCAGATGTTTTTAAAACTCCCCAAGGAAAATAATCAATTTTCTTCATCTGTTCATCCACTCCTAGGCTGGAAGTGTTTGGGTCTCAGGAACAGCAACATGAAGTTGAGGTCCAAAGCAGTGACTGGTTGTTGGCCACCCACTCCTGCCGGTAATGAACAAGGAATTGCTCTACCCACTCTTGGATATCTGCTTCCCTTTGGCTCTGTGTTGGTGCTTCCTGTGGTCCAACAATGCATTCTGGGGGAGAGACTCATGCAGCCACTCTGCACGCTCCCTCTAGTGGTCACAATGAAAACCACAGGAACGTTAAATTAAGCAACGCCAGAATGTGCCCAGAGGAGTGTCTGTAGCCTATGGAGGGAGGCTTGGGTTATAATCTTCCAAAAACAGTGAAACTTTTGATGCTTATATTTATGGAAACTCTGGAAAATTAAGCTATAATCATACAACTTACAATAATACAAACTGTCACCCAGAGATTTCCATAAACAATTAAAAATCAAATTGATTAAATCAACTCTGTGAGAATAGTAAAGCAGGACATGCCACATGTAATGAAAAATGGAGAAATAAAAACTGGGACTAACATTTTAAAGGAGGCTCATTTATCAACACGTTTTCCAGAATTACACTATCTAGATAGCTTTCACAGTCTACAAATCTCATGAACGGGTTCCCTGAGCATTTTTGTGTTTTCATGGCGAGCCAGGAGCTTACACCCTCAGTTCCAATGGCATGCCATCTATACGCTCTATCTCTCCTCGATAGAGCTTCTTCCAAACTTCCAGTTCTCTTTTAACCAAGAGCTCTTGGGTGCTCTCTTCAGAGATGGCAGCTTCGATCTCTTTCATTTCAAGTTCCATCTGAGTTAGGACTGCGGCGCTTGGATTCTCTCGAACATGCACTAAGTTTTCTTTTGCTGCTGCTTCTCCCTGAAACAAATGAAAGTGGTGTGTTGTTTGAAATCCGAATCCAATGACCCATTCTGAGTTGAATACTCTAGTTTTGCATCAGTAACTCAGAACAATTTAAGTGCATGAGAAAGTATGCTGCAGCTTTGAACATGTGAAGTCAGCAACAACTATTAAAGGGTTTGTATTTATAGGGCTGGAGAGATGGCTCGGGGGTTAAGAGCACTTTCTGCTGTTCTGTGGGACCAAGTTCGGTTCCCAGTGCTTGGTTGGCAGCTCGCAACCTCCTGTAAATTTGATTCCAGAGGATACAACGCCCTCTTCTGGCCTCAAAGGGTACCATCATTTCCATGCACATACCCACATTCAGTCACATGCGTATTATTTTAAAATAAAATAAATTAAAGTTATAAACTATTTAGATTCATCCTCTTGCTGTGGGGTTTGGAAGCAGGTCCTGGCACATGCTAGGCAATCCCTCTCCCATTCCACATCTTCAAATCCATTTACACTTGTGTAAGCATTTGTGTAACATATACAAAAATTGATAAGAAGGAGTTTGAGATTTTTAATAGTGAACGGTGTAATTTAAGAAGAAGGTATGACAATAAAAGAACTTCAGGAGGTATTACCATCCCTGATTTCAAGCTCTACTACAAAGCTATAGTAATAAAAACCACATGGTATTGGCATAAAAACAGACAGGTGGATCAATGGGGTTGAATGGAAGACCCAGACATTAATCCGTACACCTATGGACACCTTATTTTCGGCAAAGAAGCTGAAAATATACAATGGAAAAAAGAAAGCATCTTCAACAAATGGTGCTGGCATAACTGGATATCAACATGTAGAAGAATGCAAATAGATCCATACCTATCACCCTGCACAAAACTCAAGTCCAAGTGGATCAAAGACCTCAACATAAACCCAGATACACTGAATCTAATAGAAGAGAAAGTGGGGAATAGTCTCGAACACATAGGCACAGGAGACAACTTCCTGAACAAAACACCAACAGCGCAGGCACTAAGACTGACATTTAATAAATGGGACTTCATGAAACTGAAAAGCTTCTGTAAGGCAAAGGACACCATCAATAGGACAAAACGGCACCTACAGAATGGGAGAAGGTCTTTACCAACCCCACATCCGACAGAGTGCTGATTTCCAAAATATATAAAGAACTCAAGAAACTAGATATCAATAAACCAAATAATCCAATTAGAAATGGGGTACAGATCTAAACAGAGAATTCTTGACATAAGAATCTCAAATGCCCAAGAAACATTTAAGGAGATGTCCAACATCATTAGCCATTAAGGAAATGCAAATAAAAAAATAGACAGGTGTTTCTTTGGACTTGAGGACTTTGAGATTCCATCTTACACCTGTCAGGATGGCTAAGGTAAAAAAAAAAAGTAAGTGACAGCTCATGCTGGGGAGGATTTGGAGCAAGGAAAACACTCCTCCATTGCTGGTGGGAGTGCAAATTTCTACAGCTACTTTGGAAGTCAGTGTGGAGGTTTCTCAGAAAACCTACCATAAGGAATCAACCAACCACAAGACTCAGTTGTACCGATCTTGGGCATATACCCAAAGGATGCTCAATCATACCACAAGGACACTTGCTCAACTATGTTCACAGCAGCTTTATTTGTAGTAGCCAGAACCTGGAAACAACCTAGATGTCCCTCAACCGAAGAATGGACAAAGAAAATGTGGTACATTTACACAATGGAGTATTACTCAGCTGTCAAAAACAAGGACACCAAGAAATTTTAGGGCAAATGGATGGAACTAGAAAACATCATCCTGAGTGAGGTAATCCAGACCCAGAAAGATAAACATGATATGTACTCATTCCTAAGTGGATATTAGCTATAAAATAAAGAATAACCATGCTACAATCCACAGCCCCAGAGAGACTAGGTAACATGTAGGGTTCATGTGGGGACACCCAGATCTCCCTGGAAAGGGGAAATAGATGAGATTTCATGAAGGGACTGAGGGCAGGTGGGGAAGGGAACATGAGCAATCAAGTTGGGGGATGAGGGGGGAGAGTACTTAAAGAGATTACTGGAGGGGGGGCGCACTTCCAGGTCAGGTAAAAATCTGACACAAGAGAATCTCCCAGGAATCTACAAGGATGACCCTAGCTTAGACTCCTAGCAATAGCAGACACATAGCCTGAACTGGCTATCTCCTGTGACCAGATGGATGCCTAGCCCAATCGTCTTCAGAGAGGCTTCATCCAGCAACTGATAGAAACAGGTGCAGACCCACAGCCAAACACTAGGTGAATCCTGCAGAAGAGGAGGAGAAAGGATTGTACAGAGGGGTCAAGGACACCACAAGAAAACTCACAGAATCAACTAACCTGGGTTCATGGGGGCTCACAGGGACTGAACCAATATCCAGGGAGCCTGCATGGGACTGACCTAGGCACTCTGCATATATGTTACAGTTGTATAGCTTGGTCCTCTTGTGGGACTCCTGACAGTGGGAACAGGGGCTGTCTATTTTACAGGCTTTTGGGATCCTACTCCTCAAACTGGGTCGCCTTGCCCAGCCTTAATACATGGGGAGGTACTTAGTCGTACTGCAATTTGATATGCCATGTTTTGTTGATACTCATAGGAGACCTGCCCTTTCCTAAACAGATGTGCAGGCAGAGTGGATTTGGGAGTGGGAACAGAGTGGTGGGGGGGGGGGGAGGATAAGAGGAGAGATTAGGAGGAAAGGAGGGAGGGGAAATTGTGGATGGGATGTAAAATAAATAAATGTACTTAATAATAATAAAAAAAGAGCAAGGTATGAGTGTGGTAGTCCCTAGGCCTAGAAAAAAATAGAACTGATAAGGACTTCAAGGCCAGTGGGAAAATGATAACGAAGTCTGGCAGAGCCAGGCCTCAGCAAAGGGCAGCCAGGCGTGGAACTGGTGTGAGAAGTAAGGAGAGAGGAAACACAAAGGGGCCAGCAGACACTGGCTCAAATACTTGCTTCCTGTTTGTAACCTCCACACAAGCCAAACCACCGCATAATTCCAAAATCAGTGTCTCCTGAAATGACATCAAACCCAGGCTGCTGCTGAGAACACATGGTGTGAAGACCCACCCATGACCACGACTATGACTACATGTTAAGACTTCAGAAACATGTAAACTGGTACTGTAGTTCATAGATAAACCATAAGGTTACAAAAGTCTTAGAGGCATTGTGCGGGTAGAGTGTCCCAGGCATTCCAAGGTGAGAAGCTTTAACTCAGAGAGATTTGCAAAAGTGGCTTTATAGTGTCATGAATCCCAATAAAAATCAAGAAGACTCAATCTCTTGAAAAAAGTGAAGTAACAAAATACTGCTCATCCATTTGGATTAATAGCAACCAAAACAGTTTCAATTATACATATATGTATAATTGAACATATACACACATATTTATTAGAGAGTGTGAGAGAGAGAGCCGTAAAAATGAATGAAACACACACATGTGTGGAAGATGGAGAGACAGAGACAGAGAAAGCAGTAAAAGTGAATGAGGCCCCTGGACGTTAGAAGTTCTCTGTACTTAGATACAAACATTGGCAATTTCTCTTTCTAGGGGAAAAAAGGAAGAAGGAGGAGGAGGAGGAGGAGGAGGAGGAGGAGGAGGAGGAGGAGAAGGAGGAGGGAGGGGAGGAGGAGGAGAAGGAGAAGGAGAAGAAGAAGAAGAAGAAGAAGAAGAAGAAGAAGAAGAAGAAGAAGAAGAAGAAGAAGAAGAAGAAGAAGAAGAAGAAGAAGAAGAAGAAGAAGAAGAAGAAGAAAGTGCCCGGAGGATTCAGCAAAGAGCCCTGGAGAATCATCCCCACACTGAGGGCTGATTTCTCATGGAAGTCTCATGTGGGTAGTACCTCCTATATATCTCCCATTTCCGTCTGTGAGGTGGGAAGGGTGTGATGGGTTAGCAGAATATAGTGTGTGGGTGATGCCGGCTGATCCCCTGAGCTCTGAAGTCCCCCGCATAGAGAGAAATTGTTTCAGAGAACAGTACTCTTAGTAACCACAGCCCAGGGACCTTAGCCCCTCCCAGTAACCACAGCCCAGGGGCCTTAGCCCCTCCCAGTAACCACAGCCCAGGGGCCTTAGCCCCGCCCAGTAACCACAGCCCAGGGGCCTCAGCCCCTCCTGGACCTGATAATACTGATAGGACCTTGTGCTTCGAGTTATCATGAAGTCACGACAACTCAGCAGTGGCAGCTACTGAAACTGTCAAGTGGGAGATATAAGCCACTGCAGACAAAGAGCAGAGCGCACTGGCTTTGGACAGACCATCCTTTCGCGGTCATTCCACAGAGAATAGAGAACGATTAAAGGATTTCATACAACTTTCAACATTAAATTAGGAAACAGTCTCAGAATGCTGCCCTGGGACTCCACCCTACCCTGTGAGGACACGAAGCCACAGAGCTAGCCCAGGTGTTACAGTGTGGGGAAGGAGAAGAGATTCCAGCTGCCACCCCACATGGCCTTCCAGCCCAAGTGTTCCTGTACTGGAGTTCCGGCTGCCTCCCTAGGCAAAGAGGAGCCCTCAGATAACAGCAACATCTCCAGCAACCAGAGATGGCCCCAGCACCCTAGGCACCACACTGTTCCAACGTCAACTGAGAGGCGCAGACAGCGCTCCAGAGTTTCCCAAACCACAGATTCAGAAAGGAAATAAATGTCTGAAGCCACCAAACTGAGTAGTTAAAAAGAAAAGATTGGTTTGAAAAAGACTCAGTAAGAGAGTGACTTCCACCATAGAAGTCAGGGTTCCTTAAAGAACTGGAAAACACCGAGACAGCCCTGATTAAACATCATTAAACGATACTGATGAGAAGCACAAAAAACCAGGAAATCTCTCTACAACTACACGAAAGGTTTTGAACAGCATTCTTCCTTTGTAAATTCTTACAATGAGACCAGTCAGTGTGTCTCCAGAATTTCCCCTCAAATTAGAGAATGTGGAAGGTGAGGATTGTTTAATTATGCATGCACTAACAGCTATTAATTCTGTAATCTAAGTGCTTACATTTCATGGCATGTTAACTATGACCCCAAAAAGCTGTTACCAGAAAGCTTGATTTCCTACTTGTGAATCTTAACAATATCATAGTGTTCTGTTTAGCTCTATCCAGAAGTCAATTTTAAGACAAGAAAATCAATACTGTGCCTTTCTAAGAAAAAAGAAAAAAGACATGTTTCCCTGATATCATGTATGTAATACTATAGTTCAGTCTTCATTGCCTGTTACAAGTTTTCAGACATTTGTTTTTCCCAGGGTTAAGTGATTTTGATCCCACGACTGGTTACAGATTACCTCAAGCCTTAGCATGCCAACTGGACTATTCATTTCAGCTTGACTGGCTTTTGAAACTTCTCGAAAACTCTGTCTTCTGCCATCACACCTGTGTCCTTCCTTTGGGAGCATATTCAAGATCTTCTTTATCCTGCAAGAAGGCAAAGGAGGAGAATATTTTAAAGAGTAAATACCTAGTAATTGTTTAATAAATATTATACCCTATTATATATAGGAAACGTCTGTAAATCACAATTCTGTCTCAAAGCAACTTTATTTGAAACCATTTGGATTACATTATAATCTTAGATAAGTGATGTCTTAGTTAGGTTGCTATTGTGTGGTGTCACACTGTGACCAAAAGCAACTTTGGGAAGAAAGGATTTATTTTGCCTGTGTATCTTGAATCACAGTCCATCAAGGGAAGCCAGAAAACCAAGACAGACATTCAAACAAGGAAGGAGCCTGGAGGCAGGAGCTGATGAGGGGCCATGGAGGAATTCTCCTTACTGGCTTGTTCTTCCTGGCTCGTTCAGCCTGCTTTCTTATAGAATCTGGGACCACCAGCCCAGGGGTGACACTGCCCACAGTGGGCTGGCCATAAGTCACTAGTTTAAGAAAATGCCTGACAGGCTTGCCTGCCACAGCTGGATCTCACGGAGGCAGTATTCAGTTGAGGTTCCCTCTGCTTAGTTTGTGCCCAGTTGACAGAAGACTAGCCAGGACAATTGATATGCATGGTTAATGTTATAACTACATACAGAATTTTATAATAATTACTATCCATTTCAGTGAGTTAACATAGAACATTAACTATTAGCTAGAACCCAGGAGTCAGCAGCCAAGATGAAGAAGATAAGTATATACTTCTATATAATGTTTTCAAAATATGTATAAAAACATGCTTTGGTAATTATAGAAAATGTCTATAAGAAGAAAAGAAAGTACACACAAGAAAGCATCAGGGAGGCTGGAGACATAGAACAGTGCTAGAAGCTGTGTTTCTAAGCCACATTCTGAGCACAGTCTCAGCACAAAGCATAAGTCATCAAAAACATTCATGGCTGAAAATAAACAGAAAGGGTCCTCGAAATTTCTGTAGAGAGGGAAGTAAGACAGAAAAAGCTTAGAAGGGAGGAAGTCCACAGAGAAAGAATGAATAAAGAATTGTGATTTTTTTTAAAACTACATAGCTTTGCTAACACAATATTGACTAAACACATGAAATAAAAACCATGTACAGAAATAGTTAAGTGGGAGAAGAATATTAATTACACTCAGCAAACAAACTCAACTACTCAAAGAGTAGGTATAACGACAGCCATGTGTGGGGGCAGCAGAGATCCCAGAAAACACTCCGGTTTGGGTCTGGTAGAGGAAGCATGAGATTGTGTCATTCTTTGTGTTCAGGTCATACATGAGCTTTTGTACATATGGCCCCATACACAGTTCAGCCTTCTGTGTCTACAAGCTCTCTGACCGAGGTCAAATGCAGACTGAAAATACTTGAGAGAAACACATCTGTACCGACATCTACACCCCTTTCTTCTAATTCTCTACACCACACAGAATTACAGTTAAGTGTCTTTTTTAGAAAAATATATTTGAAGATTCTTTAAAAGTTTTTTAATATTGTATTTATTGTTGGAGGATACACATGTGTGGAGGTCAGAGGATAACTTTCTGGACTCAATTCTCTTTTTTCTTAGTGGTTTCTGGGGATAGAACTTAGGTCCCCTAGCTCCCACATTGACAGGTAAGCCATCCCCAGACCATCACCTCAGGCCCACACTCACACCCAACCAACAAATACAGATATAGAGTACCATCCCCAAAGAAGAAACTTAGAAAAATCCAAGACACGTCTGTTCCACAAATTGCCAATCCTATAATAATGGAACCCAATGAGAACAGCCTGGAAGAACTTTCAGGTAAAAGAATTATTATAACTATGTCCAAACAGTTCAAAGAAGATATGAACATACTCCAAGAAATAAAAGCAAAGAAATGAATGAAATGCAGATACCAAGCCAAACACAAAATAGAATTAAGCAAAGAGAACAGATGGAGAACCCAAACTAAAATGATCCTGGAAATGAAAAACTCAATAAGCCAGATAAGACTTCAATGGAAAGGCTCAACAGCAAAATGGAACCTGTAGAAAACTGGAAAGCAGTGGAAAGAGGTTAAAAAAAAAAAACCTGGAGCACTCAATAAATGTAATTCTCCACACACATGGACTCATGGACAGAAATCACATGATCATGTCAATGGATGCTGAAAAGAGTCTTTGACAAAATACAACAACCCTTCATGATACCCTGAAAAAAATGGGGATGGAGAAAATACATGCCAACATAATAAAGGCTAAGTATGGCAAACCAATAGCCACGATCCTAGGGAGTGGAGAAAAACCTGAAGCACTCCCACAGAACGAGACAAGGCTGTGGGTTCAACAGTGCCTGGAATCTCAGCTCAAGCAACAGGACAAAAGAAGGAAATAAGAGGGACACACATAGGAAAGGACGCTGTCAAGGTTATTCCTGTTTGCAGATGACATGATTCTACACATGACAGACCCCAAAGACCCCATCAGGAAACTCCTAGAGCTAGTGAACACTTTCAGCATTGTGGCAGGTTACAAAATTAACATCCTGAGACTGGAGAGATGGCCCAGTGGTTGAGAGCACTGCCTACCTTCTAAAGGACCTGGGTTCTCAGCACCCACATGGAGCTCACAACTATCTGTAATTCCAGTCCCAGGGAATCCAATGCCCTCTTCTGGCCTCCAAGGGCAGCAGGCACCCATGTGATACACAGGTATACAAGCAGAGAGAGGAGAAAGTGGAAGAATACTCTTGAACTCATTGGAACAGGGAAGCACTTTCTGAACAGGACTCCAATAGTGCATGTGGAGATATTTTATTTGTGCTTTAATAAATAAAGCTTCCCTGGAGATCAGAGGAATAGGAATGGCCATTATAATAAACAAAGAAGTCAGGCAATGGTAGCACATGCCTTTAATCCTGTCACTTGGCAGGCAGGAATCTGTCTGGATCTCTGTGAGTTCAAGGCCACACTGGGAACAGAGCCAGGCTTGGTGGCACATGCCTTAAATTCCAACACTAGTTAACCATGGAGGTCTGGAGGTTTGTACAGACAGATAGGAAGTGACAGAGCTGGGCAGGAAGAGGAAGTGATGTAGCTGGACAGAGAGAGCAAATCAGATGGCGGAACAGCAAGGCATATAGGCGTGGGGAGACAGGAAGTAACTCACATTTGGAAGCTGCTGAGTTGGTGAGATAAGGTTAGCTGTGGCTTTCCCTAATTCCCTGATCTCTCTCAGGCTTTCACCCCTATATCTGGTTCCATGTTTTTTATTTAATAAGACCATTCAGGAATTCATCTACAAGTGCAGGCAATTCAGATCAACAATTAATAAATGGAACCCTGTGAAACTAAAAACTCCTGTATAGCAAAGAACACTATCAGCCAAGTGAAGAGGCAGCCTACAGAGTGGGAAAACTATATCAGCTATGCAGAATTTACAAAGAGCATTAAAAAAAACTGAACACACACACACACACACACACACACACACACACACACACACACACACACAAAACCCTTGAACACCTAGAAAACAAACAACCCAATTAAAAACAGCATGAAACCATCAACAACAGAAAACTGATGCAAACAATTGAGCTGGGGCCAAGTGAGTGAGACTGAAAGACTCTGGGGACGTTTGAAGTGGAACTAAATGCATTTTGCATTATGATATGGCTATATGTCTATGAGAGTCAGAGAGTAGAATGGGGTGGCCTGAGTGAGAGTGGCCCCCATAGGCTCATATACTTGAATGCTTAGTCACCAGGGAGTGGCACTATTTGAGAAGGATTAGTAGCTATGGCATTGTTGGAAGAAGTATTTCACTTGGGGTTTCAAAAGCCCATGTCAGGACCTCTCTCTCTCTCTCTCTCTCTCTCTCTCTCTCTCTCTCTCTCTCTCTCTCTCTCTCCCCCCCCCGTCTCTCTCCTTGCCCCCCCCCACTCCCCCACCCCACCCCCACCCCCCCTCAACCCTCATCAGAGAAACTTCTTTCGCAGTAGATGGTGATGAATACAGTGACTGCACTGGCCAAGACGCAAAGCATAAGCGACTGTGAGTGCTCAGCTCTGACTGAGACATATATACCACATTCTCTCCTCTCTGAGGCTTGGGGACCACTGCAGAAGAGAAAGAGGAAAGGTTGCAAGAGCCATAGTAGTGGACATCTGCATGCAGCAAAACAGTGTTGTCTGGACACAACAGGACCGCTGCATACATGAACTCAAAGCAGCAGTGACGACAGGCACAAGGCCTGCACACGATCAAGCCCGTCAACTCCCAGCCAGAACGGGAGAGGCGGCTGTCCTAGGCAGTGTTTCTATCCTCGTGATGAAACACCATGACCAAAGAGCAAGTTGGAGAGGAAAGCATTTATTCAGCTTATACTTCCAGGATAGGAACAAGGCAGGAACCTGGAGGCAGGAGCTGATGCAGAAGCCATGGAGGGGTGCTGATTATTGGTTTGCTCCCCATGGCTTGTTCGACCTGCTTTCTTACAGAGCCCAAAGACCACCAGCCCAGGCGTGGCCCCGCTCACAAGGGCTGGGTCCTCCCCCATCAGTCACTAATTAAGAAAATGTCCTGCAAGCTTGCCCACAGCCTGGTCTTCTGGAGCATTTTCTCAATGGAGGTTTTCTCCTCTCAGACGACTTTAGCTTGTGTCAAGCTGACATGAAACTCTCCAGCACAGGGCCTCACAGACTTCCACCCCCAGATGAGGAGCTATTGGCAATTAATGGCTGCTAGGGGAGGGAGACTCAGTTTTCTTTAGGGATGCAGTCGTTGAAAGGCTAGCCATACTCCAGAAGATGGTCTTACCCCCATTCCCATACAAGCATCACTAAGAGACTTGGCATGTCTGAAAAAAAAAAAGCACATGAAGTGTGGAGGAAGAAGTGATGGAGAGGCACAGGGAGACACTGGAGGGAGGGATATGGGGGTGGATTGGATCAAAACATATTATGTGCATATATGATACCTTCAACAATAAAATAATTTTAATAATAAAAATATTTTTGTGTGATATAATTGTAGTACATGTTTCCTCATTTTGTACTATTTATCAATAATGAAAATCCATGTGAAACCAACTTAGCCCCCTTTTCTTTTGAATCAAGTTGTTATTAGCATAAAATAAAGGGAATGGATGATAAAATCCGCAGAAATAAAAATTCAAGGTAGATGAAGAAGAGTGTAGTTGGCATTATTCTTACTGTTTTTTAAAATCATTGAAGTGTAAATGTAAGATTTTGACATTCAAAAAGGTTTAGAATGCACCGCGGGTACCTGAAGTCCATGGTACAGTGCTGTACTTTCAGTATGAATTTGTGGAGAGGTTTTCATGCAGTTATAGTTAGGTCAAAGAATGGTTGAAGAGACGTGAAATGCGAAAGCTTACTCAGTTAGCTCTTTCTCTAACACTGTAGCTCTCCTTGCTTCTCGGCGCAAAGCACCGAGCAGAGAATGTACTGAGCTGATCAGCTTTCTCCTTGCTTTTTCCTGATCCTCAGACTTTGGAAAGAAATTAGTAGAAAGTTATTTTTTTAAATAAGAAGACTTGCACATCTTTGTTAAAACATAGCAGGACTCCTCTAACCCCCCACACACGCATTTCTAACTCCTACTGTAAGGGTAGAGTTTAAGAAAGCCAATCTGTGTCCCTCTGTTTACAGGTATTAACACAAATGATGAGCAGTATCTACTGAAAATGAGAGCTTGGGGTAAGTTTTTGTTTGTTTGTTTGTTTTACTTTTATTCTTCAATCATACATTATATCCCAACTGCAGTTTCCCCTCCCTCCACTCCTTCCACCACCCCCACCTCTTCTCTCCCCCCAGATCAACTCCTCCTCTGAATTTTTTAATTATAAATTTTCTCTTCTCCTTATGCACATTATTGTGACCTTGTCTTACTAAGCAGAAGTCAACTAAATAACTCAGCAGTTCACCCAAATTAAGCACTAAGTGATGCCAGGAAGTTAAAAGCCAAAGGAAGAATGATTACTCAACTCACCAAGCTAGGATTCTCCGTGAATTCACAGCTGCCTTCTGGGCTTTGAGAGGTGTGGGGCGCACTTCCTTGTGACTCCATGCCACTGCTGGTTAGATTTGCCACTTGAGGGCACTTGGGGTGAGGTCCTCCAAGAGTCACCATTGCAGAGGTGTTCTGCCTCATCTCTTCCTCAAGATTTGCACTCAACCCCTTTGGACACTTGCAAGTCCTACACAGATTGAAAAATGTAAACACTGAATGTGTCTCATGTTCCCCCAAATGACTTCAGGGTTCTTACACAGCTTGCTTCTTGGAGAATGGTGACATCAGAGTAGAATGGTACATTAACACTGAAACTGAGACAGGACACCGACTGCATACAATTTTGGCTTAGGATTGTTCTCAAGAAACACAGCTATGCATAGAAGCACATTGTTGAAACCTTAGCACTTAGGAAGTAGATACAGGAGGACTGAGTTTAAGACAAGACTGGACTATGTACTGAGTTCCAGGCCAGCCTCATCTACAGAGTGAGACCTTGTCTCAAAAGACAACAAGCAAACAAAACACAGTATATCTATTTCTAGGAACATACTGAACCAACTAGTGAATCAAACAGTATAGGATGAAGAAAAATCACCATCAACAATACATGGCTTAACAGTTAAAACTATAGCCCATGGAAGGAATCTACCTTGATTGTTTTAATGCACCTCTGAAGATTTATATTTCTGCAAGATAATGACATACTTGATAATTATTATCATTGCATATGAACATATTCAAGTATCACGCTGTGCTTCTAAAATACATACAACTAATAAAAGTTAAGAATACTTGAGGCAGGTGTGGTAGCACAACGCCTTTAATCCCAGCACTTGGAAGGAAGAGGCAAGAGGATCTCTGTGAGTTCTAAGCCAACCTGGTCTACAAAGAGAGTTCCAGAACAGGTAGGGCTGTTACACAAAAAACTTTCTTTCTAAAAAAACATTTTTTTAAAAATGGAAATATGTCCATTAGACATATCACAAAAAGGGAAATATGTCCATTAGACATACCATCCATACAAAAAGTGAATCAAGTAACAGGAATTAAATGATATCATAGGTGAAATGGACCTAGGAGATATTTATAGCACATTCCACCCAAACACCAAATTATAGACATTTTTCTTAGTAGCTCATGGAACTTCCTCTAAAATAAGTCACATATAAGACATGAAACAAGTCTCAACATATACAGGAAAACTGAAACCATATCTCACTTTCTACCTGATCATGATGGCATAGAGCTATAAATCAACAGCTGGGGAACTACAGAAAATACACAAACTCCTGTAGCAACAGACTATTGAATTATGAGTGGGTCTTTGAAGAAACTGAGAAGAAAAAAATTTAAACCCTAGAATTAAATGAAAATGAAAACACAATGTACCCGAACATGTGGAACACAATGAAGGCAGTCTTCTTAAGAAGGACGCTTACAGCTCTAAGTGCCTACATTTCAAAAATCAAAGATCTTAATAGACAAACATTAAAGAACTAGAAAAAGAATAAACCAATCCCCAGAGAATCAGACTGACAGAAATAACCAAGATCAGGACAGAAAATAATGAAGTTGAAATGAACCAAAAACAGTAAAGAGAATCAATGAAACAAAGACCTGGGTCTGTGAAAAGATAAACAAAATTAATAAATCTCTAACCAATTTAACCAAAAGATACAAAGAAGATTCAATATAATATAATTAGGAGTGAAAAGGGAGAGATTGCAATAGACACAGAGGAAATTCAGAGGATCATGAGAATGTAGTATAAAAATTTTATATTCCACTAAATTGGAAAAAATTTGGAAGAATCGAGTGAATTTCTAGATGTATTTGACCTACCACAATTAAACCAAGATAAAGCAAATATTTAAACAGATACAAAACTACCTATGAGACAGAACCAGTAGTTAAAAATTTCCCATGCAGATCATCCTGGGAAGGGGAAATAAATTAGATCTTCATGAGTATACTGGGGGGGGGGGCAACAGAGGGTAGGGGATGGGGGATGAGAATGTAAGGGAAGGGGATAGTCGAGCTGGAACAGGGATGGAGTGGGAGAGCAATGAAAGAGATACCATAATAGAGGGGACATCATGGGGATAGGGAGAAACTGGGTGCTAGGAAAGTTCCCAGGAATCCACAAGGTTGACCCCAGCTTAGACAACTAGCAATAGTGGAGAGGGTGCCTGATCTGACTTGCCCCAGTAATCAGATCAGTTAATACCTGTGGGAGCCCAGCTGGGAGATGGGCTCCCACATTTTACCCCAGGGTACTCTTGAGGAGTGAGGGATAAGAGATTTAGATAGAAGGATAGAGAGGAGAGAAACAGATAGAAACACAGGATAGCCTCAGGAAGACCTGGATCCTTACCCACTCACCCCTTCTGTCTCTTCTAAAGGGCTATTTATAGGAATGCCAAGGGGTGGAGCAAAAGACCTCCCCCTAGCTCAGCTAAGTGTAGACCCTTCCAATCACCTAGTGACTATGCACATGGTCAAGCAGTCCTCTAATACAGCTCTGCTGGGTAAAGGAAGCTCAGATCTCACTAGGAAGCCTTTGTGGGCCTCCACAAATAATCTGCCATTATAGAGCCTTCATCCAGTAACTGGTAGAAGCAGATACAGAGATCCACAACCAAGCACCAGGCCAAGCTCCAGGAGTCCAGTTGAAAAGAGGGAAGAAGAATTCTATGAGCAAGGGCCATCAAAATCATGATGGGGAAACCTACAGAGACAACCAAACCAAGCTAGTGGGAACTCATGAACTTTAGACCAATAGCTGTGGAGCCTCTATGGGACTGGACTAGGCCCTTTGCATAATCAAGACAGTTGTGTAGTTTGATCTGCTTAAGGGGCCCCTTGGCAGTAGGATCAGGATCCATCACTGGTGTATGAGCTGGCTTTTTGGAGCCTATTACCCATGGTGTGACACCTTGCACAACCTTGATGCAGGGGGAGGGGCTTGAACCTACCTCAACTGAATGTACCAGTCTCTGTTGACTCCCAATGGGAAGCCTTACCTTTTAGGAGGAGGGTATGGAGGGTGGGTTGAGGTGGAAGGCTGGGGGGGTGGGAGGAGGGAAGAGAGAGGAATCTGTGGTTGGTATGTAAAATGAATAAAAATTTTCTTAATTAAAGAAAAAAATGAAATTAAAATAGTTGCAAACCTAAAAAAAAAAATTCCCAAGCAGGCCTGAGCCGGCAGAGAACACAGATGGCTACCCTATTGCCCAGACTTCTTGGTTTTGGAGAAGAGGGAAGGGTGCAGCCTGCACAATCGATCAAAATTAGCTGGGTCTGGTCTTCTGAAGGCCTTAGCCAGTGGAAGACACAGATGCCCAACCCCCACCCGCTCACCCCCACCCTACCCACCCCACCCCAGACTTCTTGGTCACCATCATACCAAACCAAACTCCCTGAGGTTTCTAGGCCTGGGCACATGAGAGATGAAAGCTACAGCTTCACACCATGCCTTGTGGCTGGGGCAGGCAGGATTCCATCAAGCGCCACCTGTGACCCAACCAAGAGCCCTGGTGCCGGGTGGTTGGACACCATGATAGTGAGCGAGTGCAGGGTGGGGAAATGGAAAAGAGAGAGAGCCAGAAGGGTCCATGGGCTGGGGAGAGAGGCAGATCTGAGGAGGTAGGGGTGATTAGGAACAAGCTGATGTGAATGGCTTGCTAGCCACCTGAGTTCAAGGTGATGTCTGGACCTGGATGATTGCCAGTCTGAGGCCCCGAGGTAGCCAAAGGGGCCTGTGTTGACGTCTGTGGCTCCTATTGTCACTGAAGGCAGTGTGAAGGCCTGTGGTCTAGGCCACCACTTGGGGCCATGTTGGTGTCTGATGGCCATGTTGCTACAGAGGCCAAGCCAATCTCGGTGGCCTGCACTGCCTCATGGGGTCACGGTAATATCCTGGCCCGGGCTGATGCCAAGGATCATGTCTGGGTCCATGGTTCTACCACAGCTGGGTTCTGAGTTGATGTCCCTGGCCTGTGGATGCCACCTATGGCCACACAAATGCCCGGGGTCTAGGCTGCAACCTATGACGATGTTGGTGTCCAAGGGCTGTGCCGCCGCTGCTGGGGCAAAGCCGGTGTCACCTGGGGCCATGGTGTCATTCAGACCAGGACTGCTGTCGAGGGCCATATCTGGGTCTTTGGCCCTGAATAGCCAGGGTCTATGTTGATGTCTTTAGCTCCTGAGACCATCAAAAGGTGTGCTGATGCCAGGGGTCTGGGCTGCCACCTGGGGCCATATTGGTGTCTGGGGGCCATGCTACCATAGGGGCCATGCCAGTCTGGGTGGCCTACACTGCTACCTGGGACCATAGCGACATCAAGACCCAGGCTGTTCCCTAGGACCTCGTCTAGGTCCACAGTCCTACCACAGCCAGAGTCTGAATTGAGGTCCATGGTCCATGTTGCCACTAAAAAACACACAGATTCCCTGGGGTCTGGGCCACAACCTATGCCCATGAGGGTGTCCAAGGGCCATAGTATTATCCAGGCCAGGGCTGCTGTCAAGGGCCATGTCTGGGTCTGTGGCTCTGCAGCAGCTAGGGTCTGAGTTGATGTCTATGGCTCCTATTACCATCAAGGGCCATGCAGATGACTGGAATCTGGTCAACCTGAATGGCAGGTGCTGCCACCTGGGGCCATGGAGTCATCCAGGCCCAGGCCTCTGCCTAGGGCCATGTTTGGGTCCACAGCCCTGCAGTGGCCAAGATCTTGGGTAATGTCCATGGCTCCTGTTACCGCTGAGGGCTCTGCAGATGCCCAGGGTCTGGTCAGAGACTATGTTGGTGCCCTAGGGCCATGCTGCCACCAGGGCCATGGTGATGTCTGGGCCCAAGTTGCTGCCAAGGACCATGTCTGGGTCCATGGTCCTTCTGTAGCTGGGGTCTATGATGATGTCCATGGCTCACGTTAGCACAGGGAGTCATTGGAACCATGCTGAGCCACACCCACCCTTCACTGGCCCTGGGATAGCTGGTCCTACCCCTTGCTGGATACTGCAGTAGGGAGATGGCCCCCAGGGAAAGATGGCCTACCCATCACCACAGGCATGCAGCTCACCTGAGCAGCATACTAGAGCTGACCCTGTGGCTGGGGATGCAGGTGAGAAGACCCTGAAGATATGTGAGCAGGAGAGCTGACCCCACCACCCCATCTGCCATGTGGTGGTGTGGGTAAGAGAGAAAGATACCCTTCCCCCCCCCCCACACACACACATTACCACCTGTGACAGGAGAGAGAACTGGCCCAGGGGTCACAAGAGTGGGAGAGCTAGCCCTGACCCTCCCTGGCTGTAGCACACAGGAGAGCAGGCTCTGTACCCTGTCTGGGCAGCACACTAGAGCTGACCCTGTGTCCGGTGTGCAGGTGAGCCAGCCCCGAGGGTGTGAGAGCAGGAGAGGTGACCCCCACACACCTCATCTGCCTCCTACAGCAGTCGGGAGAGAGGGCTCTGCACCTTGTCTGGGCAAAACAATAGAGCTGGCCCTGGTGGTGTGAGTGTGGGTGACCTGGATCTGGGGACCTGAGAGCAAGAGAACTAGCCTGGTTCCTTGCTGCAGGCTGCAGTGGGTGAGCTAGCCGAGGCAGCGCTGGTGAGCTCTCCTCTACCCAGGCCCAGAACCAGGGCTATGAGTTGGCCCACCCCAACATCCGCCTCACCTATGAACTACTGGAGCAGGTGAAGGGGACAAACCTACAGATCTCCATGACACAGGATGACAGCAGGAGCCCCAGTGAGAGCCCATTATCTGTGGCTTAGCAGAAGTCAGAGACCTGGAGCCAGACCAATGACTCCTGGCAATGCACATTTGCAAGTAATGGTGAATGGACTAAAGGGTAAACTGTGTGACCCAAAGGGCCACAGTACAGCTTCCAGGACAAGATTCCTCTATCTATCTATCTATCTATCTATCTATCTATCTATCTATCTATCTATCAATCTATCAATCTATCTCTATCTCTATCTCTCTGTTTGGTTGGTTTGGTTTTTCCTTTAAATTTGATTTTGTTTGGGGGGAGGGAAGTTGGCAAAGAAAGGGTAGGCATGAGGGGTGGGGAGATAAGTGGGATTGGAATGCATGATGTGAAATCCACAAAGAATCAACACAAGTTAAAAAGAAACTTACACTGAAGATACTATCTATCTGAACACACACACACACACACACACACACACACATACACACACACATACACACACACACACACACACACACACACACATACACACACACACACACACACACACACCCTTCCCAAGCAGGGCTGGAGAGATGGCTCCAGTAGGCTTCACTCCGGGGATGCAGAGATGGTTCAACATATGGAAATCTTTAAATGGAATTTACCACACAAATATGTCCAAGGACAGAAACTACATGATCATCTTATTAGGTACATTAAAGGCCTTTCACAAAATCCAACACCCTTTATGATTAACCCTGGAGAGACAGGGATGGAGAAAATACATGCCAACATAATAAAGGCTAAGTATGGCAAACCAATAGCCACGATCCTAGGGAGTGGAGAAAAACCTGAAGCACTCCCACAGAATGAGACAAGGCTGTGGGTTCAACAGTTCCTGGAATCTCAGCTCGAGCAACAGGACAAGAGAAGGAAATGAGAGACACACACCTAGGAAAGGAGGCTGTCAAGGTATTCCTGTTTGCAGGTGACATGATTCTATACATGGCAGACCCCAAAGACCCCACCAGGAAACTCCTAGAGCTAGGGAACACTTTCAGCATTGTGGCTGGTTACAAAGCTCACACCAGTGGTTTTCCTACACACCGAAGACAAACAGGCTGAGAAAGAGATCAGGGAAACTATCCCATTCACACAAGCATTGAGAAATCAAGCTGGTACTGCCAGGAAGCTTCCTCCCACCGGCTAGCTTTCATGGCACCAGAAGGTGCTGTGCAGGTTGATTGGGAAGAAAAGTCATCAACTGTCTTACCCAGCTGTGAATCCTGCAAGGCACACTAATGATCAGCATGGCAAAAGATGTGCCCATGGAGACAATAGTGGCATAAATTATGGGGGTAACCAACCACTTTCTGATTGGACATCAGGTCCGCTTCACAAGAGAAAAAAACAAACATGTGATGCTACAAGTCTGGTCAAGAACTGATGGCTGGGGAGCTCATAGGCCCCAAGAAGTAAAACCCCTACTATTTTTTTGCCAAATGGACATAGTACAAAACTGCATTCTAAATTTGTATAGATTAGTGCAACTCTCAGACCTCACTGGAGAGATTTCTATGTTCAGAAGACAGTGGTTAATGCAGAAACTCACAATTAGCCAAAGTACAAAGAATGAGTCAATGGAGTGCTAAGCCTTTATCAACCTCTCCCCACAAGGCTCAGAGACCATCTCAGAACAAATGAGGAAGACAGAGCGTAAGAGCCAGAGGTCAGGGAAGACCAAGGCAAATAGTGTCTTCTAGGCACAACAGGATTGCTGCGTTCCTGAACTTGCAGCAGCCTGCACAAGACCAAGCCAGTCACATCCCAGCGTGCGTGGGAGAGGGGTTTTCAAGGTCCCACACCAGAGGTGCTATTGACAGTTACAGCTCTGAGGGTGAATCGGTTTTCTTTAAGGCTGTGGCCCCTGGTAGGCGGACCAATCCTCCAGCGGATGGCCCCAATCCTATGAGTATACCGGCAACAAAATTAGACTTGGTGGGTTACAATTTTGAGAGGAAAAAAAACAAAAAACAAAAAAGACAAGACACCCAGAAGCATTTGCTTCTGCCCTCTGTACGCTGCTCCCATATGAAGAAATCAAGCCTTTTCCACTGAGGAGGAATTCAGAGTCTAAGGGAGGCCAAGATGCAGATAAAATAAGAAACTGAAGCAGCCCAGGCAGCTAGTTCAGAACATCCTTACCAAGGTGTGGAGGTGGGACTGCATTTTCTGTCCACCTTACACTCCTGCCCACACAGAACAAGGGATTAGTCTAACCAGCTGGGACTTCCACTTCCCTTCTGTTGTAGAATATTATTTTAAGTGTGTTACTTTTGTTTATATTGCATTTGTTTAACTCTCTGAAATTGTGTTACTGTGCCTGTCTAAAACACCTGATGGTCTAATAAAGAGCTGAATGGTCAACAGCAAGGCTGGCAGGCAGAGAGAATATATAGAAGGAGAAATCTGGGAGGACAAAAGATCAAAGAAGGAGAGAGGAAAGAGGAGGCCATCAGGGGCCAACCATCCAGCTACACAGCCAGCCATGGAGTAAGAGTAAGATTTATAGAAGTAAAAGAATGAGAAAAGGCCCAAGGCAAAAGGTAGATGAGATAAGTTAAGGAAAGTTGGTAAGAAACAAACCAACCTAAGGCCGGGCATTTATAAGTAATAAGCATCTGTGTGGTGATTTATTTGGGAACTGGGTGGCAGATCCCCCCAAAAGAGCAACAACAACAACAAAAAAAAAACCCAACAGCACCCTTCAGTTCAGGGTTGGTCTTTTCTTGTATCCCAATAATGCAGTTAGGGAGAGAAAAATGCTGAAGAGCAGCAACTCTGCAGCTCCCTCTAGTGGTGACGCTGAACCACAGGAAAGTTAAATTATCAGTGCTGGAATGTGCCCAGGAGTAGTGCCAGCAGCACTTGACAGCTTGGGTTTAGGTTATAATCCTCCAAAGATCATTAAGCTTTTAATATTTATATGAACACTGATAATCAAATCATAATAATAACTGTGGTAACTAGAGAATTTTCATAAACACTCACCTAAAAATCAATAGATTAAATCAACTAGGTGAGAATACTAAGGTGGAAAATAGACGCAGAACGAAGAATAGAGGAGTAAAAAGTGTCCTGGATTAACATTCCAAAGTCAGGTCATTTGCCAACATGACTTCCCAGAACTACAATATCTACTTAGCTTTCACAATCCACAAATCCAGGAACCCGGTTCACTAAGAATTATGCTTTAGTGACCAGGCCTTGAGACTGGTTTCTCCTCGGCATTTCTCTCTCCCACTCACCTACTTGGAAGAAGTGAGAGTAAGGCGTTATTACTTCTTAGTTCTTTTAGATACAGTTTCTTGTACTTTTCCACTTCCATTTTGCAAGAATCGTCCTGCATTCTCACTTCAGAGAGCTCAGATGTGAGCTTCGTCAGCTCCGCCTGACTCCCCATCACAGCAGCGTCCTCCCTCCTCTTCCCTGGATCACCTTTGGGTGCTGCCTCCACCTAAGACACATCACAAAGGTGGACTTTTACAAATCAGAATGCAAGTAGCTGCTGTGAACTTGAATTGTTTTCAGTGTAGACTCATGACTCAGCAGCTATAAATATGTATGAAAGAAATGGAACATACACTTTGAAAAGATACACTCTGAAGAAAATAAAATGGCCAGCAAAAAGATTTAAAGGGACACAGGGAAGGCGGTGGGATATGGAGAAATAGCAATAACGGATAATGACATATGTATGTGAAAATGTCACAGTTTCTCTGAATGCTACTAAAAAAAAAACTCAAAGAAAAACACTACTGGAGTTTAAAATACTTTTCTTCAGTATCAACTATATTAAATATGACTAATAAATATCTGTGCTGCATTCTTTGCACATGCACACCATCTCTGTGTGTGTGTGTGTGTGTGTGTGTGTGTGTGTGTGTGTGTGTGTGTGTGTATGTGTGTGGTTTCTGTGGGGGTGTGGATTGCTGTGCCTTGAAAACTGACCTTGGCACAAACTAGACGAACTGAGTTGCATCTTCAGCCATAAATTGCCTTGTGTTAGCTCCTGTGTAATCTCATAGTTCCAAAAATAATAAAATCAATCCAGAATTTTTTTTAAATTTAATTTTCTATTATCAGCTTGATACAGTATAAATGCTTATCCTAATAGTGAAATGTTTCATTGAGGCTTGCCCAGTAATTGAGTAAAACCAAAACTTATTATAAGCGACAGTCATCCTAGGGTCCACCCCTGCTATGTAGCCTCCCTGGTTCTGTGGGTTGCAGTCTGTCAATCCAGAAATTTTAGTCACAAACACTGCAACCTGCTGAGCCCACCAGGCTCCAACTCATGGTCACAAATGGCCCTAGTTAATCTTACAGAGTCATAAAACAAATGGATATACAGGAATGTGAGAAGGAGATTTGTAGGGAGGGAGAAGAGGGGATGGGGAGAGAGGTGAGGGTCAGAGTGGTCATTACGCAATGTATACGTGTGAGAAATTACAAAAATAATTTTAGAAAATTAAACATTAAAAAAAATACAAGCTAAGTGTGGTATACCTTGGGACGAAAGAAGGATGGAAGCCACAGGGGTTTCAGGGATGATAGCAGATGCCGGCTGGTGCATCAGGAGATTGACTAGAAGGGCTTGAAGGCTGACTAAGGGATGATCTTGCTACACAGCGCTGAGAGCAAATCCACATGCAAACTGAGCTGAAGAGCGATGATTGAGCGAAGAGCCTGGTCTTGCTGACTCAAATACCTGTTTCTTGTTTGTCCTCCCCACATGTCAACTGACACACAAAGCTAAAATAAATGGCTTCTGAGATAACACCCAATCCAGGGAACATGGGGTCTAAAGATGAAACTGTGATAGTGACTATAAAACCTCTCATAGCTAAATCCTAAGGATTTAGAGTGTTCCTTAATCCATGACGGGTTCTGGGGTTTCAGAATTCTCACAGCGATGTTCTAGAACCACTTCCTAGGAAGCCCAAGAGGCGAAGTTCACCTCTAAAGGATTTGCAAACGTAGCTTTTCAAGTTGCACAGAACCCGATTTTTCATGGGACAGCCAAAGTCCTTAAGAACCAGCTTAGCAAGCATACCGTAGCTTGCTGGTCTGGGTTGAGAGAGACCCAGGAAAATAAGAGAGGGCTTTGGGTATTGGGAGTTCTCCAGTGCGGGAGTGGGCGGAGAAAAGAACTCAGATACAAAAATAGGCTATTGTTTTGAAAGTGGGGGGGAGGGGATGGAAGGGGAGGGGAAGGAAAGGAAACAGCTGAAGAGATGACTCAGCAGGTAAGTGTTTGCCCCTCAGCCCAGGAACCCCACAAGAACATCAGGAACAGTGGACACAAATGTCCCTCCACTGATGTGTCTGTATAATGGGTCTGGATATTTCTAGCTATTAAAACTTAAATAAAATAGTGAGGGTGTATTAGTTACTTTCCCCCTTGCTATTATAAAATGTCCTGACAAAGGCAACTTAAAGAAAAAAGGACTTATGCTAGCTTACATTCTGAATGTTCAGTCCATCATGTCAGGGAAGACAGGGGAAGGATCCTGAGGCCCTTGGTCACATTGTATCCATAGTTAGGGAGCAAGAACGGTGGCCAGCTCGCTCTCTCCTTTGTATGTAATCTAGGATGCCACCCTGTAAGGGTGCTGCCCCCTTTAGGACAGGTCTTCCCACTTCAGTTAACCTAGTCAACACAATGCCTCACAGGATGTACAGAGGTTTGTCTCCTAGGGCATTAAAGAGCCTATCAAGTTGGTGACCAACGTGAACCATTACAGAGAGCAACTGCTTCATTAGTCCAATGTGGTGCTTGTTAAAGTCCTGGCGAAGCCCCACAAAAGACCACCATCATGTATACAATCAGCAAAAGCGTTTCTTATCCAACCTTCCACTGTTGTACCCGTTTGGTGAAACCCCCAGAGACTACCAAGGAGCCAGTTTCCGATGCAAGCACATAAGGGTCCTTTTATTTTCTGGGTTCGAAACTGGGCCACCACAGGGCAGATGGAGGGAAATGTGGCAGTGGCAGCGGGCCCAGGGGTAGAGAGTTTTTATAGGGAAAATCCACAAGCTGGGAATTACATGCTGTGGCATCTTGGGGTCGGGTAGAAGGGATATGGGGCAAGGTGATTTTTTTTTTTTTTTTTAAACTGTTGGTCTAGACTTTCAGCAAAACCACATTTGAAACTCTTGGGTTGGACTTTTGGCTGGGAATCACAATTTGCTGAGCAGGATTATCTGGGCTGCTCAGCAGGATTATCTGGATATCTTCAAGGGCCATAAACCGCAGACAGAATGGCTGCAGGAGCATACTGCTCTGTATCTGTTCGAGTTGTCATGGCACATTCCTGGGGTCCTTCCTGGAACTGAGTACAGCAGGTGGTCTAAGATGGTGGCCCTACCCTAAGATGGAGTCTGCACTGTCTTCATACCATCCCATACAAAAACAAGATGGCAACGACCCTGACAGGGAATTGAGGGCTCCTTTTAAGCCTAACTAAGGGGAGTGTCCAAGGAAGCAAGCTCATCTTAGATATGATTGGCTTATGTGAGTTGCAGTCGTGTTAGTAACTGCTCATTGGCTATGGTTAGTTGGGAGTTGGTCAGGGCTACGGTTTTCCATATTTGAGCAGGTCTGGATAAGTCCCAGACTTTGTCCTTATTTGGCTATTACCTTGAGCTGTTGATTATGGGGGCTGGCTCAGTGGCCCAGGCTTGTTACATCCTATCTCCTTTGTCCCTGTGTCATGGGGACCAGTTATTGACTGCCCTTTGTGTTAGTATTCTGACCCGCCCCTTGGGGACCTGCCCAATCCTCCTGACTCCCTTGAAGAAGAAAACTCCTCCTCTTCGCTCTCTCTGCCCCTTCCCTCCTCCCCATCGTGCGTGAGGTGTGCGCACCCCCACTTTCCCTCCCTTCCCTCTTTTTCTCTTTCCCTCTCTATCTTTTTATTGTAATAAACCCTCTCTCCACGTGGATGCAGTGCTCGGGGTGTGAGTGACTTTCCACTCCAGTCGCCACCATCTGCATGGCGTGGCTGACTCACCCGCTGAGGGGCATCTCGGCTCTACCCACCGAACCCTCCCCTGCACCATATTACACTTTGTTCGTGGTTCTTCTTTAGAAACTGCTTGTTCAGTCCCCAAAAGCAGGGACCAAGGCCTAGTTCTTAACTGAATTATTAGGGCAGGCTGCCATGATATTTGCCTGGCCCTCTCAGTGTTCACAATGCAACAGGGGTCAGCTTCCAGGAAGGAAAACACGGATGCCAGGATGCTGCTCAGCTTGGTATATAGATACACAGTTTTCATTGTATAGCAATCATATTTCAATCCTAGTGATACTGTGGAAACCAAAGTTACATTTTAAGTTTTAATTACTATGCCTAAGAGATCCATGAAACAAAAATGCCTCTGATTTGCAAGCCCCTTGCCTAAGGACAGATAGTTCCTGAAATGTTAGAGGCTACTGTTTATGGGAGATAACAAGGCACATGTTGTCACTCCCCTAAACAAGTTTGTTCGACCCATCTGCACCGGGTGTGCTTGATTACATGTGGGCGGGAGGTTCACAGGCAGGAAATACATCAGGATGTATGCTTGGCCCAGATTCGATGTAGGCTGGAGGCACATCAGGATGTACGCTTGCCCCTGCTTGGACCTGATGGGAAATACTTAAGCAGCTGCAAACTGTGACATGGGGCCATTTTTTTTTCCTGGGAAACCGGAGATGAACCCAGTAGAGTCCATCCACCTGGCCAGTATTTAATTAAAGCTTGCTTCAAATTTGGCTTTAAATTGTGGTAGTGGTCTTATTCTCAACTGGTGGGATTAACAATACATCCACCTTTCCGGAACATGGACAGTTACATGGATAGGAAGCTCAGATACAGATGAATGTCAGCGTTAGGAGTACTAGGTTACTCTATGAGGTCCAAGTCAACCAAGAAACCATGTCTATTTTTTTTATTTCACTGACATAACTTTCCTTTTTAAAACCTCAAAAGGGGGAGGGGAGAGGAGGACAATTCTCTGGCACAAAAAAGGGCTTCTATAAGACTTAATATTTGTTCTTGATGAGGAGTAGAAATCGTAAGTCACTTATTCCCCAAAGCTGTCACAGTTAGCTTCGGTCGTCACCTTGACAGATCTGGAAAGAGGAAACTTCAAGAGAGGAATTTCACAGTCAGATTAGCTTGGGGTAGGTCTGTGGGCGTTTTCTTGATTGCTGATTGACATAAGTGGGCCCATCCAACTGAGGGTATAACACCCTTAGGCATGCGGGCCTGGGCTGCTTAAGAAATGTAGCGGAGCAAGCCATGGGAGCCAATCAGTAAGCAGCATTCCTCCATGCCTCTACTTCAGTCCCTGCCTTTAGGCTCCTGCCTTAAATTCTGGCCCTGACTTCCCTCAGTGATGGACTGTGACTGGGAGTTCCATGGTGCAGTAGACGCTTTCCCCCAGGTTGGCTTTGGTCCATGTCTCAGTGAGGGTCTCTATTGCCGTGATGGAACACTATGACCAAAAAGCAAGTTGGGGAGGAAAGGATTAATTTGGCTTATCCTTCCAGATTGGAGGAAGTCAGAAAAGGAACTCAAGCAGGGCTGGAGCCTGAGGGCAGGAGCAGGGCCTCGGAAGGACACCGCTCACTCACTTGCTTCACACGACTTGCTCAGCCTGCTTTCTTACAGAACCCAGGACCACCAGCCCAGGGATGGCACCACCCACCGTGGCCTGGGCCCTCCCACATTGATCACTAATTGGGAAAATGCCTTACAGTTGGATCTCATGGGGGCCTTCCCTCAGATGAGCCTCCTTTCTCTGATGACTCCAGCTTGTGTCAGGCTGACACGCACAGTCTGTGTTTTGTCAACAACAGGAAGCAAAGCTAGCACAGAAGCTAACTGTGAGAATCCGGCACTAAGGGAAACCCAGGACTCCCCCCCCCCCCATCTAGCCGCCACTAAATGTAAGAGTTATTTAAAACTTTTATCAGAGACTCAGCCATAGTCACAACAATGTCCCAACAGCACTGTGGACAACAACCAAAATGTGGAAGTCAGCGGGTGTGCCCATCAGTGGCTGGATATATAAAACAGGACCATCACTATTTCTTATTTAAAATTACACCAAAATCATTTCTTTTATTAATTCAGTCAATTACTGTAAAGCCAGAGGTCTTGCACCTCTACAAATAATAGTAGCAACATAATTAAAACAAATATTTTTATCAATATGCCTTTTCATACCAAATAACATACTCCTATGGAAAACTACTCAAGAAAGAACAGCATCTCTTTCCATACCAATGACATTAAGGAGAAACCAGTGAAACTGACTCACCGCATCGGCTCCCGAGCTTAACTGTTTTTCCCAGAGAGCTTCCATTTCTCTTGCTTGCTTTTCAGTTGTGAGAATTAAGTTGGAATTTTCAAGTTCAATCCTAAATGTTTTAAAGGAATTGTTCTCACAGGTGAATTTTAAATACCACATAATTTCTAAATAATTGTCGTAAAAGCAATTTTGCAAATTCTTTGAAAAACAAGATATGTGATAGATGAATCATTTTCCTAGCTGTGCTGTGAAGTTTAGAGATCGTGTGGATAGCTGCTTTCTCCTTTTACTGTTGTGGATGTGGATGAAACAAGGGCCTTATGCATGCAAATATACATTCTGCCACTCAGTTACCTCCCCGCCCCCATGCAAGTATGTAATGCAAGTCAAAGGACTGGAAGCAGAAAATTTACCCTGGCCTCACACACATGCACCTCTGCTCGTGTGGATGTGTTGCTCACACTACTCTGTCTGCCTCATAAACACTCCAGCTGTCTTTGCAAGCTGCATGCAGTTATACCTCTGAATCCTATGACAGATCATCTTAGCAGCTTTTAGTATCTCCAGTGCTTCTTGCAACTAGAACAAAGAACAGGGAGAGGCTACAGTTAGACACGTACAAGCTGGTCCATCTCGTGTTTGTGTTCCTTTCTCAGATTTCATTGGAGCACAGACAGACCCTTCCTCTGCATGTCGTTCACAGTTACTCTGTGCTATAATTGACGAGCTAGCAGATCTACTGCTACATGGATCTGGTGATCTGTAGAGACCAATATCACACTAACTGGCTTTTCCCAGAAATATTTATGACCCCAGAACTAATGTTGAAACACATCATTAATTTTGAATTATATTTTATCAGATACTCAAGTTGAAACAATTGGTAAAATAGAGTATATTCCATGTGGAAATAATATATCTGTATTTTTACTTCCAAACATCTCCTCACTATAATTTGAGAAGCCATATCAGTGATGATAAAAACTAACATGATGCATTCCTTAGATGACATCTTAGTCACTGTTCTATTATTGTGAAGAGACACCATGACCACAGCAACTCTTATAAAAGAAAGCATTTAACTGAGAGCTCGCTTGCAGTTTCAGACATTTAGTCCATTCTCACAGCAGTGAACATGATGGCAGGCATGACAGACTGGGCCTAGCATGAGCTTTGGGAACCTCAAAGCCCACTCCCAATATCACACCTCCTCCAACAAGGCCACACCTCCTAATCCTTCTCAAATAGTGAACTCCCTGATGACTGAGCATTCAAATATATGAACCTGTGGGGGCCATTCTCATTTAAACCACCACAATGTCTCATGGGATCATTTTCAGGGACAGTATCTACACAGATGCCACAATGCCTGGGTCTCCATCTCAACTCAACAGTTATGAGGTGAGGGATCCTGAGAAAGTTAATGTTCTGTCTTGGTTGCTTCATCTATGATATGGAGATATTGATAGAAACCACTACATTGGATTGTCGAGGATATTGTTGGGGAGTATATAGATGGCATATTATAAGCTACATATAACATCTGATTCTGGCTGGGTGGTGGTGGCGCACGCCTTTAATTCCAGCACTCGGGAGGCAGAGCCAGGCGGATCTCTGTGAGTTTGAGGCCAGCCTGGTCTCCAAAGCGAGTTCCAGGAAAAGGCGCAAAGCTACACAGAGAAACCCTGTCTCGAAAAACCAAAAACAAAAAAAAACAAAAAAAACAAAAAAAAAAAAAACCATCTGATTCTGCATTAGCATCAAGATTACATTTTATATCCTAATATGCAAGGGGAGAGCTCTTTCTGGTGAGTCCTTTCTTACTTGAGTGAAAGTGGCAGCATATGAGGAATGAGGCCCCTAATGCATCCTTAGTACTTACTGAAATTTGGCCAATTATACCAGTGTTGTGCAGCTGTTTCCTCTGGATAGCAACATTCCTTCCTGAAGGAGAGTAGGGATCACAAGACTCTAGAGGCTCATGAAAATTACTAGGCTCAGGATGCCCACAAAACTTACAGGACCCATGGGGGCCCCTCCAGGAGATCAAACCATACCTGGGGGAGACAAGACTCTTCCACAGAGCTGCCTGTATGCTGTGCAGGGAACATCTGAGCTGTCACTATGCTGTGGTGGGCTTTTTGGAGATGCAGCTGCCCAAGTCCCCTGTGCCTCTTCAGCGATCACCAAAACTCAATGTTGATTACAACCCATCTTGGGCAGCATTGTTCTTTTGGTATATCATTGTTGTTGTATCTGGTGTGAATAGACATTTAGTCACAGCTCCACAGAAGAAGCCACACAGCAACTGGACAGTAGTACTCCTGCCTACTGAGAATAGCCCATGCCTCCAGGATCTTAGGACTACTCAGCAGGCTGTGATAGTGTAGGGTGGTGCCAATGGGACCTGCTGGAATAGGGACATGGAAGTGACATGACCTAGAGGTAGGCTAAAGCCCTGATGGACGCTATTATAGAATCAAAGGTCAGTCTGTCCCAACCATTGTCATGTGAGGCTGCTTTGCCACCCCCATGGGTGTTAAGGTGTTGCAGAACAGTGCATAAAAGAAGCTGCTGCAGGGGCTTACCCACCAGTTATGTGCTAAGCATCTGCAGTCTCCAGTTCTGGCTACAAAAGGAAGGACTGCAGGTATTCATTTTCCCATTGTGAGGCAAACAGGAACATTTAATTAAACAATGTCCTATTCATTAAGTGCATTTGATTTTATATTAAACTTCTCAGAATATATTGAAAATAAAAGCTTCACTATACTCTGTTCTCAGGAAAAATTATTGGTATGATACAGAGGTATGGTATAGATTTTATCCTATAATTTAAGCAAATATGTTTTTAGTTTATTTAAGAAAAGTATCATATATCATCTGATATTCCTCCCAAGTTAATTTATACTTAGACAATATTTTTTCTCACGCAGAAATAATTAAATCAATGTAAAGTTGAAGGATAAACTGCTCTGAACAGACAAGTTCTAGATGGACTTTGGACAATCAGTCCAGTTGGAGAAGGCTTCGTGGAAGAGAAAATGGTGAGCCACTCCTAAATAAATGAGGCCAGATGAGTAAATACAGAAAAGACGGAAAGAACAGCACGAGGAAAAGCAGCTAGATGGCGCCATGAATTCAGCTGACTGGGAGGGCAAAACCCTGTAGCAAGGAACAAGAAGAGGTCTACAGAGCTGGTGGAGCAACGTTCACAGCCGAATTATTAGCAGGAGCCGAACAGTGGAGCAAACTAAAATCCATCAATCAAGGAACAGGCACACGGTGCATCCACACAATGGGGTGTGTGTGTGTGTGTGTGTGTGTGTGTGTGTGTGTGTGTGTGTGTCTGTGTGTCTGTGTGTCTGTGTGTCTGGGTCTGTGTGTTGAGAAAGGATCTCATTAAGTAGCCCTGGCCAGGAACTCACTATGCATGCCAGACTGGCTTTGAACTTGAGCCTATCTTCCTTCTTCTGACTCCTGAGTGCTGGGATTACAGATATGAGCCACCATACCTGGCCATACAAGAGACGCTACACAGTGACATAAAGAAATGAAGATGAATCCCAAAAGTACTGTGCTAACTAAAAGGAGTAAGTAATGGTCTCGATATTTTATGACTCTATCCACATGAAACACTCAGAACATTGGAATTAAATTCACAATGTACAGATTGGTGATTTTCAAAGAATAAAAAAGGTTGAGGGACTAAGGGGCTAATGGGATCTAAATATGTAATCAAGAACACAACCTACAAACACAAAACCTTGCTGAAACTAAGTAGCAAGTACAGTCTCACATATATTATTGTAGTGGTTTAAAAAAAAGACCCCCAAAGGGAATGGCACTATTAGGAGGTGTGGCCTTATTGGAGTGGGTGTGGTCTTATTGGAGGAAGTGTGTCACTATGGAGGTTTGCTCTGAGTTCTCATACATGCTCAAGATACTGCCCAGTGAAACAGACCACTTCCTGTTGCATGCAAGATGTAAGACTCTCAGCTACTTCTCCAGCACCATGTCTGACTGCACACTGCCATGTTGCATCATGATGATAATGGACTGAACCTCTGAACTATAAGCAAACCACTCCAATTAAACGTTTTTCCTTCATAAGAGTTGCCACGGTCATGGTGTCTCTTCACAGCAAGAGAAACCCTAACTAAGATAGAAGTTGGTACCAGGAATAAGACATTAGTGTGACAGGCCTGATCATGTTTTTGTTTGGAGGAAATTGGGCTTTGGTACTTTGGGTTAGGAAAGCAGTGGAAGGTTTTAAGCGCTGCTTAATGGGCCATACCAGTAGGGACATGGAAGACAGTGTGTGGTGGTTCCCCTGCAGGCTTTACAGCAGCCAGGGAAAAAATGATCCACGAAGAGACAAGAAAGAATCTCAGCTAAGCCCGATTTTATTATAACCAGTGCTAGACCAGGACTTCTAGATCTGGCCCAGATCATTTCAGTTTTTGAAAAAGGTATTCAGATAACAAGTAACTCAGTCCCAAGTGCACAACAAATTAAGACACATTTACATTGGGATTCCTTACAAAGTACATCTGGCTTCTTTCACAAGAATGGGTACTGTTGACTCAGAGATAGTGCCCCAGATTCAGGGTCTAGGGAGTTTGACCGAGGTAAACACAATGACTGTGGGAGTCAGGATTGGCCTGGTCCTAAGATGACAGAGAAGTCACTTAGGCTGCTGTAAAGCACAAGTGACATCTCTCCTAAGAGAGCGGTGCTCAAGATTTAGGGGAAAGGTCTTGGATAAGGAAAACCATAAATTCCGTGAGATAACGCAGAGCCTGTCTCCTCAGACAGCAAAGGCTCACCAGGGTGTAAAAGGACATCATTCCTAGCATTCCAAGAAGAGCAGCTCCACACTCCTTCCTTTGAAGAGGTCTAACTTTCCTGGCTTCTCTAGTGCTTATCTGTGTGCACAAGGCTCTTTGTTCTCAACAACAGTGGTGCTAAGGGTGATTTGAACTGTGGGGGGCTGGCTCAAGAGGTTTCAGAGAAGAATTTTAGTATATTGCCTAGAGATCATTCTTGTGATATTTTGGTGAGGAATGTGGCTGCTTTTTGACCTTGTCCAAAAAGTTTGCCTGAAACTAAAGTGAAGAGTTTTGGATTAATTCACTTAGCAGAAGAAATCTCAAAATAGCTTAGTATATACTCTGTTGTGTGGTTCCTAGTGCTAACCCTGATGAAGACATAGAATGAAAAGGAGCAAGCTGAGCAAGGAAAAATATTTGAGGAAAAAAGGAACACCAGGCAGGAAATCCAAGCAAAGATACAGGGAGAAGAAAGGCGGAGTCAGGGGAGACACTTCGAGCTGCCAGGGGAGCAAGATATAATAGAACACAGGTAAAGCCACAAGACACGTGGCAATACATAGATTAATAGAAATGGGCTAAGTTAAGATGTTAGAGCTAGCTAGCAATAAGCTTGAGCCATAGACCAAACAGTTTGTAATTAATATTAAGCCTCTGAGTGATTATTTTATAAAAACGGCTCTGCCTGGGCAGGACTAGGCTGGACCAGGCAGGACCCAGAAACTTCAGTCTATAGGGGTATCCCTGAATGGAGGTCTAGAGAGGCCATTGAATGAAGCTATGAAGTTGAAGCCTGGATTGCCTTGGAGACCCCAAGATGATAGAGATGCTAGAGCCCTGGGATACCTCCCAAGAAAGGTGCTCACAGGGAGTAGAAGCAGCCCAGAAGAAAGAAGTGTGTTGCAGTCAACAAAGCTGAAGGGTATTGGAGATCTGAAGAGTGCTTTGACCTCAGACATGGGGAAGCAGAGTTAAGAGTTTGCCCAGCAGGTTTTCAGTCTTGCTTTGGTCCAGAATTTCTTCACTATGCTCTCTTCTCTATGTTTTGGAGTGGTAATACATCTCATGTGCCATTATATGCTGAAAGTATATGATCTGCTTTTTTATTTTAGCTTTACAAGGGATTACAGTTAAGAGATTGCATGAATCTCAGAAGAGACTTTGCACTTTAGACTTTTAAATAAGTTTGAGACTATTATAGACTATGGGGACTTTGAAGTTGGACTGAATGCATTTTTGCATTATGATATGGCTATAAGCCTTTGGGGCCAGGGAGTAGAATGTGGTGGTTTGAAAGAAAATGGCCCCCAAAGAGAGTGGCACTATTAAGAGGTATGGCCTTTTGGGAGTAGATTTGATCCTACTGGAGGAAGTGTGTCACTGTGGAGATGGGCTCTGAGTTCTCATATATGTTCAAGATACCACCCAGTGTCTCAGACCACTTCCTATTGCCTTCAAGATGTAGGACTCTCAGTTTCTTCTGCAGCACCATGACTGCCTGCATGCTGTCATGTCCCACCATGGTATGGTGTTCTCTTCACAGCAATAGAAACCCTAAGACTATTATTTAGATTCCAATTGTTTGAATGACAGTTGAGTCTATCAAAGAACAAAAGAAGTTCTTTAATGCAGGTAGAGACAGTACCAGGAATTAACATTACATTACAAAACATTTAACTAACATCATCATAATTTCAAAGCTAAGTAAGCCCTATTTTAGCATAAAAAATGCCTAAACTGACATTTATCCTAGGGGTTGCCCTTCGCTTACCTTTCATGCCGTTATTCAGAAAAATATATGCTGAGCATCTACTATATGCCAAGATTTACAACAAACAGAAATCAAAAACTTTGTCATTTCCTTTTAGGATGAGATGACATTTTGTTTCAAGTCTAAATAAATGTCACATGCCACAGAATGTTCCAGTCCACCATGGACCACATGTACACAGTGGTCCCACAAGACTACGGGACATAGTGCTATGGTAGCACACAGGGATTATATAAGCACAGGGTTTGTGTGAGTGAGCACAGGACTGTGGTGTTGACACAAGTGAAATTGCCAAACACGTTTCTCAGGTTGTATCCCTGTCCATAGGCAAAATACAACTATATGCGTCAAAGGGAGAGAGTATTATATGTTATACTGATGAAACAAAGTCAGAAACAGGAGATTTTACCAAAGATTAATTTACCTCATTCCAAGTCTTTTCCTCAGTTTCTGCCCCAGGACACACTCCAGGGTGTGTCACGTCAAGTTTCTCAAGGTGTTGCTCTCTTTCAGTTCTCCAATTTTCCATGTTGCTATCGGGCAACTGTGCATTTATCATAGTCTTCTGTTCGTGTGAGGCAAATCTGCAATTGAAAGTGCTTTTATTGAAATCATCTGTGTATTCATATGTTAATTACTACCCTGTACAATTTTGTTCATTTCTCACTTAGAACTTTTCCAAAAGACTTAACGCTTGGGAGGTAAAGATGTAAGCATTCCGCCAATGGCTAAGTTTCTCATCTAACTAATTCTACTTAATATTATGGATTTCCCAGTAAAGTGACAACTTGAAAGTTCTTTTTTACACATTCTATTATGCCCAGATCGATGGGACCCCTAAAAGATCACCATGGAGACCAAACCCGCATGCAAAAGCAAAGAGGCTTTACTCAAGCTTGCGCATGGCCCCTAACGCCTGTCCAACGCAGAGGTACAATCAGAGAGCTCCTAGCCCGGTTGGGGTTGGGTTTTTATCATAGTAGAGGTTGGAGTGAGGGGATTTCCAAATTTCAGGACCCCTGATTGGCTGACGTTTGTGTCTTGGCAAAAGGGGATAGGTGTGTGCTGGGCTAAGGCACATCTGGTGATATCTGTAATGGTTGGAATGTTAGGTGTTTTCACCCTGAATGCTGATTGGCCCATTCTTGGGTGGTGCCAGTTTATGACTTTTCCTGGAAGCGGATGTTGCCTGCCAGTAAACCAAAACTCAGGCCTACTCTCTGGCTGGTTTCTACTGAGCCTGTCATGGCAGCGGTGTGGCCAAGCTGCCCTGGGCCCCACAGTCTCCTCAATCAGACCAGATCATTTAAAATTAAATAATTTTTTAAAAGTTACTGTTAGCTGGGTGTGGCAGTACATGCCATTAATCCCACTCAGAAGGCAGAAGCAAGCAGGTCTCTATAAGTTCAAGGACAGCCTGTTCTATGTAGTGAGTTCTAGGGTAGGACTTCCAGGGCTATGTAGAGAGATACCATCCCAAAAACCAAAACAAAACAAAACCAAAAACTAGAATAAGTTACTGTTTACAGGTTTACAGACTAGTTTATAAAATTGTGAGCTAGTTTATAAATTTACTAGAAATAAAATTCCATCTTCACAAAACGTTATGTTGACCCCTGGACACTTTCCAAATACCATGCATTGCTAGCTCTAAGAGTGGATCATGAGGTCTAATACCTGTTACCACATAGTATCTGAGACAGAATTTCGATCAATAGCTCAGACTGGCCTCTTAGTTGTGATGGAGCCTCCCGTCTCTGCCCTTCAAGTGCTGAGAACCCAGTGTGTTTCCTCCACACCTCAATGCTATTGTGTTGTTAAACATTTTTTGTATGACATTTTCAGTTCATCTTGTGGATGATTATAGACTTTATACACATTTTTAAATACCATTTTAGACAGTAGGGTTTACTAACTAACTTAATAAAAAATAATACATTTTCAGCATAGAAATTTGAATTACTTTTATCTATGTGTGGGGAAGAGGTGCTATGTACACAGTAACGAGTTTCCAGTTTACTTTTTATTTCTTGCTTGTTAAGACTGATAGAATTCCTGGCCGCTCCCCCAGCTACGTGACCACACATGCGCTGTCCAGTAGCCAAGCAAGAGGCTTAGTCATTTCGGGGTCTTACATCCTACATAATCCATGCACTGCATGGTCACATAATTTGCACACAGTGTGACCGTGTAATCTATGTGCAAGCTTGGCATAGCTACATAAGCGTATATGCGTATGTTCGGGGGGAACCTATAAAAAAAGTGGGTTCTATCTTATCCCTGCTCTCTCCCCCTGCACAATCACTTCCATAGGCCTAAGCGCTGCCCCCCACTTCCTTCTCCTAATAAACTCTTACAGTGGATTTTGTTGTGCCTCATGGCTTTTCTTGAAAGATAAACAGTGTTGCTTAATGAATAACATTGTGCCGCATAATAACTAAAAAAGACTAAAACTACATCTGGGGTAAGACTGGGCCTGTAAGCTGGTGAAAGGCCTGGGATGAACCCACAGACATGCATACACTTAAAACATTTTCTAGCTCAAGAAAAATTCTCATTTTATAATTTGTTTGTGAAATTGGGAATTAAGAAACTTTTTTTGATATTTAGAAATGTAGGCAGTGGTGGTGCAAGCCTTTAATCCCAGCACTCAGGAGGCAGAAGCAGGCAGATCTCTGTGAGTTCAAGGCCAGCCTGGTCTACAGAGTAAGTTCCAGGACAGGCTCCAAAGCTATACAGAGAAACCCTGTCTCAAAACAACAGAAAGAAAGAAAGAAAGAAAGAAAGAAAGAAAGAAAGAAAGAAAGAAAGAAAGAAAGAAAGAAAGGAAGGAAGGAAGGAAGGAAGGAAGGAAGGAAGGAAGGAAGGAAGGAAGAAAGAAAGAAAGAAAGAAAGAAAGAAAGAAAGAAAGAAGGATAAAAGTTTGTTTTGTTCTGTTTGTTTTTAGTTTGGGGAGACAAGATCTCATTATATAGCCTTGATTGACCTGTAACTCACTATGTAGACCAGGCTGGCCTTGAACTCACAGAGATCCTCCTACTTGCCTCTGTTTCATGAGTGCTAGGATAAAAGACATGATCCACCACACCTGGATTAAACATATTCTTTAAGACCCTTAACCATTTAGTTCTATGCTGAAGAACTCATTCAAAGTAAATAAAAATCTAGAAAGTTACAAAAATAATGTTCTCTCATTTCTCAACACAGTAAAGACTATGTAAACCTAGCCAGCACAATACTAAATGGGCAAAACAGAGCTCATTTCCTCTCAATCTGGAACTACAAGGGTGCTCACTTTCTCTACTCTTATTAAATATAGTCCTTAAGTTTTGATGGAGCAATGTAATAAGAGAAAGTAATAGATGGGATAGAACTCAGAAAAGAAGATGTTAAACTATCCCTGCTTGCAAACTATGTCATTCTACACTTAAAGGACCCTAATGCCTGAAACACGCTGGATCCGTAACACCTTCGGTAAAGTAGCAGAGTACAAAATCAGTAGCTTTTATATATGCTCAAGAAAACAAACTTACTAAGAAGAAAAGTCAGGAAAGATAGACCATGCACAGTAGCCTCAGAGCAAGCTACAGTAAGGAGTGTCCCGGCAGCACATGTCCACTGGTGCAATAGAGGTACACACATCATGGGAGTAACCAACCCCTTTCTGATTGGATTGAAAGACCACTCCACAAGATGAAACCCACACCTAGCACCATTATCAGGCCAAGCACCTGAGTCTAGACAGCTCACAGCCCCTGTGGAGAACCTACTATTATTATGCTGCTAAACTGACATGGTATTAAATTGTCTCATAATGATTTATTATTATATGCACAGATCAATGCATCTTTTAACCCTCGTCTGAGAAGCTTCTGTTTGTGGTAGATGGTGATTACACAGAGACCCACAACTGGTCAAGATGCAGATAATTAGAGACTGTAGACTGCTCAGCCCCCAAAGGAACATGTGCACCACATCCTCACCCCTTCCAAGACGTAAGAGGAGGCGGAAAGTGTCCAAGAGGCAGAGGTGGTGGGTGATGACAAACACCTCCTGGATGCAGAGAGGGAGCTGCACATAGGAACTCATGGAGGCTGTGACAGCCTGTGTGACAAGGCCTGTGCAAGCCCAAGCCAAGACCAAATCCCAGCATGGGGAGGGGAGGGGAGGGACGCACACAATCCCACCACGAGCCATGGAACAACTGGTAATTGTTAGCTGCTGGGAGAGGAAGAGTCCGTTGTCTCTAAGGGTGTAGCCCCTGGTAAGAGGACCACTCTCCCGTGGAATCCCACACATCCAAGAATATTTGGTTAGCACAAATTTGCCTTGAAGGTTTGGGGTTTGGTGGGTTTTTTTTTGGGGGGGGAGGGAATTGGTAGGTTGGTTTTGTTTAAAAGGACACAAAGTTGGGTGGTATACTGGGTAGTTTTATGTCAACTTGACACAAACTAGAGTCATCAGAGAGGAGGGACCTCAATTGAGAGAATGCCTCCTCATAATCCAGGTGTAGGGCATTTTCTTAATTAGTGATTCATGGAAGAGGCCCCAGCCCATTGTGGGTAGGACCACCTCCTGGCTGATAGTCCTGGGTTCTTCAAGAAAGCAGGCTGAGAAAGCCCTGAGGAGCAAACCAGTATGTAGGTTCCCTCCACGGCCTCTGAATCAGCTTCTGCCTCCAGGCTCCAGCCCTGTTTGAGTTCCTGTCTGGACTTCCTTCACTGATGAACAGTACTATGGACGTGTAAGCCAAATAAACCCTTTGTTCCCCAACTTGCTTTCGGTCATGGTGTTCCATCACAGCAATAGTAACCCTAACACAAGTGAGTGAGAGTGCAGAGCAGAACTGAGTTAGTTAGGGGTCTAATATGATCAAAACATACTGTATAAAACTTGAATCTATCAAATAACTAATGAAATGTTTTTTAAATAAGAAGTTCTTATACAAAGTATAAGAATAAACCTAACTGCTGGGCAGTGGTGGTGCATGCCTTTAATCCCAGCACTCAGAAGGCGGAGGCAGGAGGATCTCTCTGAGTTTGAGGTCAGCCTGGTCTGCGGAGTGAGTTCCAGGACAGCCAGGACTGTACAGAAAAACTCTTGTCTCAAAAAAACAAAACTAAACTAAAAGAAACAAACAAAAAAGAATAGACCTAACCAGGCAGGTGAAGACTTCCACAAGGAAATCTTCAGGACACTGAAACAAGAACACAAAGAAGGGACTAGAGGCTGGAAAGCCTGTCTGGACTCCCGGCATGACCGAACTTATATTGGGAAGCTGTCAAGAAAAGATCTGTGCTACCAAAGGCAGCCTACAGATCAAAGCAATCCTTGTCAAAATGCCAGTAATATTCTTCACAGACCTAGGGGAAAAAGTTCTAAAATTCCTGTGGGAACACAAAAGACCACAGATACCCAAAGAAACTCCTGGCCAAAGAAACACAGCTGGAGACTTCAACCTCAAACTATTCAACAGAGCCTCCGTGTTAAAAACATCAGGATATCCACATCAAAACAGACATATGCACTAATGGAACACAGTAGAAGACTAGATGGGGAAACCAGTGTGGAAGCTTCTCAAAACACTAAAAATACAGCAGAATCCAAGGCGTTGACCCAAAGGTATCCTACCGCAAAGATATCTGCCCATCCATGTTCATTGCTGCTCTAGGCACAATAGCTAAAAAAAATTAAATCAACCCAGATGTACATCAACAGATGACCGACAATGAAAATGTACATACGTACAATGGAATATTAGTCAGCCCTAAAGAAAAGTGAAATTTGCAAGAAAATAGATGGAACTGGAAAACATAATATCGAGGAAATCTAGACTCATAAAGACAAATACTGTGTATTCCACCTTACACGTAGATCCTAGCCTCTGTTAAATACGTAGATTCG